GAAGCAACCCTGTTAGGGTTTAGGGTTTAGGGTTCTATGAGACCTTACATGGTTGTCATATCGCCCTCAAGCCAGAATGTCAATTCCGAGGTTGAGCAGGTGGTGGAGAAGCTCGATTACTTTGAAAGGCACCTGACTTGCACTGCAGCCTAGGCCTTGGTCTTGGGGTGCACAGACCCTTCAATTTTTCCTGGGGCCCAGATGTAGGTTATTGATTTTCACGGAGCGAAAAGGAGCACTGCAACTTTCTCTTTGTAGCTCTCCCTAAACCCTAAACCGTGTAGCTCTCGTCCAAACATTGCCCATTTGACCCGACTGGAGAGGCGCCGAAGCGCCCGTAAGCGGAACGAAGTCTTATCGAACGCGAGACCCCAAACACCCCAAAGATCACACCCTACGGTTGATGATGTAAATCCTGCAGGACCCATACTAACGAATATGCCATAATTCCCATAGTTTAGTGTCCTTAAGGTAATGCAGGATTTATTTCATCAACAGTAGCATTCAGTTGGACCGCAAGCCCTACGCCCTACTGTAAGCCCAAGCATTCAGCCACTTGCTACGAAACCTTGAACCCTAAACCCTGAACACTACATGTACACACAGACATTCAGCACAAAACCCTGAACGCTAAACGTGACTAAACCCTAGCATTCCGCCTCTTACGACAACTTCAAATTCGGCTCAGAGCTTCCGTTCTTTGTTGCAGAAAGGTACGCTGTCGGTGCCTCGTAAATATGGGGCTTGCAGGGCGTTCCACCCTCTTTTTTTCAGGCTGCAAGCACCGGGCGATGCCACCTATGACTTCTACTTCAGCCACGAGCACACTTCGCAGGATGCCAGTCTGAGGGTTCCAATATAGGGGCCTTAGTATTCTAGGCCAAAGTAGTATTGTAATCATTAAGGCCCCTACGTTAGGGCCTTAGTGTTTACGTTTGGCGGCGGCGTTCATGCTTGTGGTGTTCGGGATCTCATGGGGTTTAGACCTCTTCAGGGTAGACCTCTTCAGGTTTCGGTGAAGCCAGAACAGGGCTATTTTGAGATTTGAGAAGGCATTCGATTCAGGAGTCTGTTTCTGAGCCCGAGGCAGCATGACCGTATGTCTCCAACCCTAAACCCTAAACCCTAAACCCGAAACCCGAACTGCAGACTGCCCTAGGCCTTAATTCCGAAGCCCGAGTCCCAAGCGGTTGGGCTCTGCTTTGTCGGTCGGCGCTGCGCCTTTCTGAAGCTACGACAACGGCGTCTGAAGTTTTAAAGTCTTCCCTCTCAAACGCAAGCGCCTGACGCGTCCAAAGATCAATGGAGAGCATCTATGGCGAAACAGGACCAAGTCTGCTGCACACCTAATGCCCAAATCCAAAATCAGAAAGTTTGATGTATGGGTTCTTGGCTTTGGGTTTCGGAGTCACGTAGTCAGACGGCCGCAGTAGTCGGAGCAAGTCAGAAGAGCAGTGGTCATATTGACCCCAAACCCTAAACCCTACAAATCGAGAGTGTACCAAGTCAAGAAATCCCTAACCGAATGCCTCGCCTGAATTGACAGAGTGTGCGCGCCGAAATCCTAAACCCCGACCCGCTACACCCAGTCATAATGACCGACATCAGGACAAAGCATCTAAAGCTTGGATCTCGAAGATGGTCTCTGAACTTTCTAGCGACTTGAAGCACACCTTCCACCACGGGCTACGTCGCGGCCCGGCTCGAAACATAACTCATCTAAGTTTTGCAGGTTTCGATTGGAGCTTGGGGTGTATGGGCTTCTTGCATAAGGGCTTGAGGTTTTGTGGCTTAGGGTTTTAGGGTTTAGGGTTCGTTTTATTACTTCCGGGATTAGCGCGCCTCGGGCTTGTCGGTTCTGGTCAAGCACTTTTGAGATGAATTGCTCTTCCACCTTACAAGTGAGATCGCTCCTCCCCTTGCGGTCCAGTAGGAGTTTTCCGGAAATTACGACCCGGGGTCTGCGACCACGAATCACTACATCTGTTGTGGGTGATTTTCTTAGTAATTGACAGCTTGCTCAGTAAAGCTTGAAGGAGTAGGCTTATCTACGGAAGACCTGGCATCGTCGATTTCCTGAAATGACCAAGCACAGGCTCTCTTCAGTGCAAAAACCCTAAACCCTAAACCCAATTGCCCAGGATATCACGTGTGGCAAGACCACATCGAGAAGCAGCAGACCGATCTCCACGAGTCCATCACAGACATGCCGATCGGACTGGGTTTAGGGTCATTGCAATCACAACCCTCATTCTAACGGACCTGCTAAATTCCTTGCTCTACCTCGTAGTCGGCAAACCGACACATTTAGAGGCTCATGAAACCAGGTCCCGAAGGGTCCAAGTACTAATACGGCAGCTACTTTGTAGGTATGGCCCAAGTATATACTATACTATAACTTGGACCCTTTGGGGGTAGAGCTACACGAACTCGAGCAGAAACCTGGAGTTCCCATTTTTGACCGGTCTAAGCCTGAGCCTTCTCATCGGCCTTGTACATAGTTCTCCAATACCCAACCTGTAAACTTTGGGTTCTTACAATCTAGTAGCAATCTGAAAGTTTAACCTTTTATTTCCCTGGCTATTGGGGAAGTAAGTATAAGCCCTTGTTAGAGACAAGGCAGAATCTCGTCCAGCAGCACACGGGGCTACTGCAGGGCATGGTGAGTGCCGTGGACAGACGCCCTGCAGCACTCAGTCGCGCACGGTTTCGGGTTTAGTGGGTAGTTTTGGCTTGCGGGTTTAGGGCTTTTGGGGATTCATTCTGCATGCTCATGATTTGTTAGCGATGCTTTAGGGTGCTTGGGTTTAGGCCGTTTATGTAGGCGTGTGCTTTTGAGGGCCAGGAGGCAACATAACCGATTTAGGAGTGCGCTCAACCCAAACCGCAAAACACTACGGGTTTTACACATTGGTTCAACACCCAAGCCCTGCAACTGAAATTCCCAAATTCTGAGGTCATTTCGCAGTGTGTTGAAGTATATTTGGGGTTCGATAGGCTGTGACCAGGTGGGATGTCTCCACTTCGAATGTGGTGGACGTAGAGCGTCGGTTGTCGCAGTCTGTTTTCGGAGAGGGAGTAGCATGGCAGCCACTGCAAACCCTCAAGCAAACACTTGTGGTAGAGTTTGGTACTTTGAAATCTGAAGACTTGAACCCGAATAGCTTGACTTTATTATAGTTCCCCCATATCTAGCGACTTCAAGTGAATTTCCACAACTCCACTTCCCTTTTGGGCTCTCTCCTTCTTTGCTTCTCTATCTCCTCTCTACCTCTCTCCTATCTCTCTCTCTCTCTCTCGCTCTCTCTCTTTCTCTCTCTCGCTGTCTATACTTGATTGGCCTTGGCAGTGAACTCATGATGGCTTAGTGTAGAACCGCCGTGGCATGATGAAACCCTATAACCGAACCCAGGAAACCGTGCGGATCCTGTGCAAACCCTGATAGAACCTCGTAAGATGCTTTCGGAGAGGCAGAAAACCGTCCTTCGAAACCAACGCCCTTGGCGCCCTTAAAGGAGCCCTTCCAGAATTCACAACAAAAGTAAACACCTATAGTATGCTATATTTAGAAGCCTTAAAGCAGAGCCACTTAAAAAAGCAAGTCACTTTCCAAAGGAGCTCCCTAAGTGCTTTGAAGCCTAAACCCTGAACCCCAAAACCACATGACATGCCCTTTTTACACGATCCGAGGCCTCTTGGAACACGATGGGGTCGGCCAAGATGGCCTGGGACTGGCAGAGACCGCGGTGTCAAGCGCAGCGAGTTGAGCCCAGCAAGCGGTTTAAAGGGCGTAAGGGCCTTAAGGGTTCAATGCCTGGCCTTTTCTTTGGAGGAGGAAGGGTGTAAGGGCTTAAGGGTTTAATGGCTGACCTTTTTTGGAGAAGGTTTGAAACGGTGGTGGTTGCAATAAGAGATGGTTGCCGCTTCCCAGCTGATGCAGGATTTGAGCCTGGGTTCAATTAAGAGACTAAATCCGAATTGCGAACGCTCTTGTAGAATGTTCAGGGCAGCGGTATACGGTTTGTAAACATGCTGTAGCACCAGATCGTGCCTTTTCGGGCGTAACGAAGCGTTCCAGGGTGTTAGACCAAGAGGGTCCACATATCATATACGTCACCAAAACTAGTACAAGGATGGTCCTTGTAGGGACTAATTCATCCATCATGGTAGTAGCTATGCCCTTCCACCGGCTCGTCGACTGGCGTTTGACAATGTCTCACCATATTTCGAAAAGCAGCATGATTTCAGGTCCCGAAGGCCTAAATTCTACACCACATATCAGGCTTCGGCTATTTTTGGGCCTTTATTCAAGGAGTTCTGGCATGCGGTGTGGATGTTTAGAGTGGTGTGCTGCGAGTGGAAAGAGTAGCCAGAGACTCCAATATCCATTAATTAGGGAATATACCTTAAATTATAGTAGGATCCCTAATATGATTTAACGTATATTCCTTAATTAAGGGATATTGGAGTCCCTGGGTAGCCTGAGTAGCCACGAGCAGTCTCAGCATGGTGCGTGCGCACGATGGAAAACACCTGGGCTTCTCGACCGTGTCTTGGCTTTGGCGCTTTTTGCTCAGATGTTCAAGGGTTCAGATAGCTTTGTGAACTCATGGCCCTAGACCCTCAGCACTACACCCTAGACTCTAAAGGCATCTCTCCGCCCTAAACCCAGCCCTATCCTCCAAACTACATACGCTGATGCAACCCTTCGTCCCAGGATCCTCCCAGTACCATTGTGTGTGTTTTGCGTAGTCCGCCTGCTCCAGTAGTGTTGTTTATGTGGGAGACTGGGACAGGAAAGAACGAGAACGTCTATTCTTTAATCATATGCGTAGGCACGCATCCTTTAACCTTCGACTTGTTGGGTGTGTGTATACACACAGATACCTCTCTCTCTCTATATCTATATATATATACACATAACAGAGAGACAGACGGAGAGAGAGAGAGAGAGACAGAGAGAGCGAGTTCTCGGCATTTGTCGGTTCTTCTCCTGGCAGGGCTTCGCCAGCGACAAGCAGGGCGTGGTCGACTCTAGAAGCAGATTATTAGTTGAACAGGTAAGCTATGTCACTTGGGAGTCTTGGGCATATATGCATTAGAATCCCACCACGAATTAAATTTGTTTGGACCAGGGAAGAAACAGCTGTTTCAAATGGCTTAGGGCACCACGCTGGATGAGGGCTCTGGACTATTGGGTGCCAGGTGGTAAGGCTTAAAATCAAAATCCTGAACCCTAAACGCATATGTCATATTTCGTGGCGGCTGCCAAATTCACAGTGCAGTTCAAGTTCAAGTCAAAGCTGTAGGGGTCTGAGCCAATAATACCCCCCTTTGATGCCGCAAAGCCTACTTTGGCCCCGATACTAATTTCTACACGGATCCTAAACTCTACACCCCGAAAAGCGTCTTTTAGGGCACGCATAATGCCCGCAAAAGAGCCCTTAACGGAAGCCTATGCATTCTAGTTTCCCGAGACCCCTTTGGTACGGCGGGGTAGTTAGAGGTGGGTGTCTAGGCTTGCTTTGCGGCTTCGACCAGACAGTTTTATGACAGGTTCTTGATATTTACAACACAGCATGTTGGACCGTGCTGGGGTATGGGGCAAGTCGATAGCGGTAGAAGGGAGTAGCTGTACTCTATAGTCAGGGAAATTGCGGGAATGAGGGGTGACAGCTTTCATTCCGTAGCCCGACACGCATCGAATGCCAAGTTGTCTAGGGGGGTCTAGACGAAGAGCACAACCGGAAGGCCTACAGCAAGATGTTTTAACCGAACCATGAGGCAGCTTCGTTCAAGTCTTCTGGCAGCCTCGCAAACTCAAGCCGTAGCCACCAGCACTGCAACAATATAGGTTCAAGCTCCTCCTCAAAATTGGTTCCCCTGTAAAAGCAAGATTGCACATGGTTTACGGCGTTTTGGGCGCTACACTTGTCGTGCACGAACAAACCTACCAGGCCCCTGGAAGCCACAGCCGCGATGATCCGGCCGAGGGGTTCTGCGACCAACCCTAAACCCTAAACCCTAAACAAAAAACCCTAAATAGAACCCTCAAGACCTCCATGAGATCCGGTGAGAGCCATGAAAAAACCCTCATGAACGGGTTCCCTAAGCCCAAACCCTAGGTACCTACCATATAGGGTAATAGAGCCCCTGGGGCCCTACATAGTAGGGTACCTGGAGGGTTAGGGAAAGCTCTAAGCCAGTTTTAGCTTCCGTCACAAGCCTCTAAACCCTAAACCCTAAACCCTAAACCCTAAACCCTAAACCTCCTAAACCCTAAACCCTAGACCCTAACCCCTAAACCCCTAAACCCTAAACCCTAAACCCTAAATCAGGAATACTCTGGGCGTGAGCTGGGCTCCTTCCTGTCGCTGCTGGCAAAGGGAAACCCAAAGAATGCAACCAGGCAGACAAGAGTTCTGGTTTAGGGTTTAGGGTTTAGGGTATTTAGAGTTTAGGGTTTAGGGTTTCCTGCCCCTCGGGTGAATATAGGGGCCTCAATAGCTACCTATGGTATTTTGCAGGTCCCCCATTTTGATTATAGTAGGATATTACCCAAAACCCTATTCCAATTAATAAGGCCCCTACATTATGCAAGAACATATCTACACAGTTGCAGTCACTGCATCCCCGATTCTTCTGCTCCTGGACGGCTCATCCGCTAAGTTGTCCTTCAATGCTTGACGCTAAGTTGTCCCTCAATGCTTGACAACACTTACGAAATAGAACCCTAAACCCTAAACCGAAACCCTAAACCCTACGCCGTAAACCGTAAACCCTAAACCCGAAACCCTAAACCGAAACCCTAAACCCTCAACCCTAAACCCTTTTCAGCCAGGAAAGCAGCCAAACCCTCAATTCCAAGCCCTCGTAACCGGAGGCTTCCAGCTTGACGCCCCACCTTAACGCGCCTGTACCTAACCCATACAGGCCCATAGGCCCTAAAGTAGTTCCTTTTTCGTTTTGGGGTTCATATATAGAACTATAGAATCCTATAAGGTAACCCCACAAAGGAACTACTATGGGGCCTATGGGTAGACCTAACCCATAGGGGCCTTAATAATTATATGTACCAATACCAGTTTGGGGGGGGTTCCTTATTATAGTGATAGTGCCATGAATACCTGTACCTAACCCATACCCAGACCCCACAAAAGTATGTAGAATAACATAGCCTTTGATGGGTTCTGGGCCGTGGTTTTTACCTACTTTTGGGGGTTTAGGTAGGGGCTTAAAAAAGTACTAAGACCAGTTTGGGGGTTCCTGATTTTAGTGATAGCACCATATATACCGTATACCCCTCAAAACCCTATTCTAATTAAACAGGCCGCTATATTACCTTCTAGCCACAGCAGGAAGTCGCAACAAGGAGCCCGAAGAATGTAGGTCTCTCCACAGGCCCAGATGCACGTTAACCCTAAACCTAAACCCTAAGCCCTAAACCCTAAACCCTAAACACCCTATAAACTTATAAACCCTATAAACCCTAAACCCTCAAAGTCCTGAGGTGGAGCTGCTCTTCTCCCGGAAACCCGCCCACCGCAGCGACATTTGGGAGGCTTCTCAGTGGTAGAGTAAGCAAGTGTTACCTGCTCATTGTCGTTGTTGTTGCTTGCAGCTTTTTGTGGCATTCTTCCCCAAGATTTAATCTTTAAGTCAGCTATGAAACTGGACAAGTGAGGACCTTCTTTGTAAGTCGCCTCTCTTGGGTTTTCGGCTAGGTTTCGCGTGGGGCTGCTATGCCCGTTTACTGCGTGGTTTGGTCATTAAAGCGGACTGACGTGGGAAAGCGGTATATGATATGCGTGGGTGTAGCACACCTGAAACTCCAATCCAGACATTTTCAAAGGGTTACCAGCTCTAAATGGGAGTTTCCGAAAATTAGGGTACCTTAACCCTAAACCCTAAACCCTAAACCCTAAACCCCTAAACCCTAAACCTTATTTTGGGGTCCCTATTTTCGGAAACCCCCAAAT